CTTTCGTTCTTTCTTTGTTGAGAGGTTGAGGTGCGAGCCCTGCTGGTTTACAGGGGGCGTCTGGAAAGAGGAGGCGTGTGATAAGTGGGGCGGTGCGCCGTGCGCGCGCTGGCGAGTAGAGACCACGCCTGCTATTCACAGCACAACCTGCACAAGCCCTCGCCGGGGGCTCGAGCATGCGCAGCGAAAAGCCTTTTTCCAGACGGATCCCCCCCTGTGAAAAAGTGAGGCGTGGTCTCTACTCGCCAGGTGCGCGCGCACACACGCAAACAAAAAACAAATCTGACCCCCGCACAGCTGAGAGAGAGATTTTTAGCAATACCAAACAACTCTAACACTCACACGTAATTTGGGGTGTTTGTCACAGCTGCCGTCGTGCAAAGCGTGTCATCTTGATTGGCGCGGGGCTGGCTCGATCGACTTTTAAACAAAAAACATCTCTCTCTCTTTTAAAGGTTTCGAAGCGCACACACACACATATCATATATCATGTGAATTTCATGAAAAGAGAAATCCCGCTGTCACTTGTAGTGAGCGTCGGGCTGGTGGTTCGACATCGAGTTTGAAAACTGTTTCTCGACGTCTCTCTTCACAGGAAAATCCTGTGAAGAAAGAACCTCGGCTTGGTCGGCACTCCGCGGTCTAGGACAGGTGAGCAACCTGCTTATCATGCCTCCGCCGCCCTCGTTTGTCGACCGCTACCACCTCGCAGCGCGGCTCGGCGCCGGCTGTTCCGGTGTGGTCTTCTCGGCTTCCGATCGCAAGACCGGAGAGCCCGTGGCCATCAAGCTCGCTCGCCGCAAGCGAGGCTTGCGGTGGTCGCTTCTGTGCCGCACCTTTGCCAACGAGGCGGAGATGTTGAAGCGGTGCGTCCACCCAAACGTCATTGGCCTGCGGTGCCTGCTCACCGGTCCGGACGAGGTGGCTCTGGCGCTCGAGCTGGTGAGCGGCGGTGACGCGCAGCAGCTACTGCAAAGACACGGCGCGCTGTCCGAGCCTGTGGCGTGTGCGATCACCTGCCAGGTTGCGCACGCGCTGGAGCACATCCACGCGTGCGGCGTGCTCCACCGCGATGTCAAGCTGGAGAACCTGCTCATCGCGTCGATCGATGGGCCGCGCGTGCTGCTCTGCGACTTTGGCCACGCCT